TCAACAAAGCAACACCATGCAGTCAAAGGATCATTTTGTAACTTTCAATAGTCAAGGGACTCAACAAAATAATATCCTATAGTCGGTGGACCATTGTGTACTTTACCCATATTTTTATTAGGCTCAGTTCGTGTAATGGCCCAACCCAAAGTCTATAATCCGAATTCTGGACCAACTTAAATGGAAATACTAAACCAAATCTTGTCGGAACCTTATCCGTCTCTCCCCTTCAAAATATCCCATATCTTTCAATAGTTCCATTGGCCCTCCATTCCTCTTGCATTCACCTTCTTTGTTTTGCAGAAATATGTCAGCTCCTACACTTTCCATGGCAGCAACGGTTGCAGCTGCATCTTCTTCACTCTACAATACCACCAAACCCATCCACTTTCTTCCTTCAATCCTCAATTCTAAGCGTTTAAAATCTTTCAACCTCAAAACCCAAAGCTTTAATCCCCTTCCTTTATCTCTTCCACGTTTGCCTTGCTTTTCAGCTTCTTTTGACAGCGTTCAAGTTACCGAAGATGGCCAAAGCACTGAAGAACAATACCCAGAAACTGAAATCCAAGAGGAAGCTGAAGAAAAGGTTTTGGAGTCTGGTGGTGATGAAGGGAAGTTGTATGTTGGGAATTTACCTTATTCAATGACTTCTTCCGAGTTATCTGAGATTTTTAGTGAGGCTGGTCGTGTTGCTAAAGTGGAGGTTTGTGTTCTTTTTTAATTAAATATTTTTCTTTTCAATTCAATTTTGGTTTATACTATTTGATTTTCTTTCTTCTTTTTGCTTATGGCTTTCTCTTGTTCAATAGATTGTTTATGATCGAGTCACGGATAGGAGCAGGGGATTTGGATTTGTAACAATGGGGAGCATTGATGAGGCCAAAGAAGCAATTAGGCTGTTTGATGGATCTGTAAGTTAATATATTAACCATTGATTGAACCTTAATATGATGTTCTGATTCCCAATGAAATATGATGAATGTATAAACATAAAGACCATAAATAGCTTTTTATCACTAATTTATTTGCATTGCTTGACTAAACCACTCGGTGTTTATTGCTAGAGGAACTGCTGTTTGAATTCAGGTTTTAACCATTATCTGAACTCAGGATAACTATGACCAAATCTTGCTCTAAAGAACTAATGTTTTGATCCTACATAATTCATCTTCTACTAGTTGTCGCCACTCAGAACTTTCCGGTTTCCACCATTGACACTCCTGAAACCACACAAAAAAAGATCCTATACTCTTCGATCCTCGACATTGGATTCAATAAGACTAAATGATAATTGCCAGACTTTAAGTCTCTGTGAGGTGGAATTGATTTACTTGGCTGCCAAGAACGGTTTAGTTTTGGTTAGAATCGAAGAGCTCTCTTATTTTCGATATGTAGAACACTGTTTCATCAAAATCTATGTATTTTTCAATCTGGTTCTAGTTTTGGATGGATGGGAATGAATGCGATTGCCATGGTTTTTCTGTATAAATTTCATTTGTGTTCCTTTCCAAATTTTGCTTATGTACTGGAAAGTTTTGGTGAATGCTAGCTAGGTTTACAGTTGAAGGGCATTTCTTTTTTTGTTTTTTGGAGCATCATTTGTGTGGATTAATCCATTTTGAGTTGCTGGTAAGTTCTCATTTCTATTTGCTAACAGCAAGTCGGAGGTCGGACCGTGAAGGTGAACTTCCCGGAGGTTCCAAGAGGAGGTGAGAAGGAAGTAATGGGACCAAGGATTCGTAGAGGTTATACCAGCTTTATCGACAGCCCTTACAAGATCTATGCGGGAAACCTAGGTTGGCGTGTCAGTTCAGAAGGTCTCAGGGATGCTTTTGCTACCCAACCTGGCTTGTTGAGTGCTAAAGTCATCTACGAAAGGGATACAGGAAGATCTCGAGGTTTTGGATTCGTTTCTTTCGAGTCAGCCGAGACCGTCGAGGCCGCTCTAAGTGCCATGAATGGAGTGGTAAGACTCAGTTACTGAATAAAACCATGATTGAAGTTTGTTTAACCTTTTAATTTACGTTCCATTGTGCTCATACTTGTAGGAAGTTGAAGGTCGACCTCTACGTTTAAATTTGGCTGCTGATAGAGCACCCCGTACTCCTTCTACTGAAACTGAAGGAGATGCCGAAAATAGTATCGAAAGCAGCGAACTGCTTTCAAGTGCCACAGTTTGATAGACTTACAAAAACAAATATGTGGTTTTAATGAAGAAGATCATGCAGATATATTGCCGTTCACTTGCAGATTATGAGTCGAAAGTGATCATTTTTTATTTCCCTTTGTCAAGAACTGTTTAGAAATGTGTTACATGTATAAATTATAGAGCAAAGGGAGATGATTCACTCTACTCTTAAGTTTTGAAATATATGTTATTTTATAGTGTTTTGTGTTATGCATCATATGACAATATATAAAGAATAATTTCTCACTAATCCACTTCGATTCTTTGTTTTTATGCTTATAGGTAATTTTATCTCGTAGTAAACTCAAATAAGTTTTTTTTTTGTTTTTTAATTGTATCAATTTTTTCCTTTAATTCATTTGATTATATTAATAAAATAAGTTAGAGTGATTAAAATAGGAGTAATTTGGAAGTTAAGTGATTAAAGTAAAAAAATTAATTTCAGTGATCAAAATAGAAGTGAGAAGATAGTTGAATGATGAATGATATAATTTACCTATAAAAATGTCACAAAGAAAACAGTTTCATTGAATTTTTAACGACAAATACCAAAATGAAACTTAAATTAAAGGTTAGTTATAATTTTGAAAAAAATAAAGTTTAAATGTCAAAAGTGAATAAAAATAATAGTTTAGGTACTCAATATGTAGTTTATCCAAAAGCTTATTGTAACCCAAAATGAAATTAAAACGCGATAACGCTATGTACATGTCATTAACTTATTAAGTATATAGCATGTATATTTTACATTATATTATTAATTTAATGGTCTGATTAAAAAAGCATGATTATTATCAAGAACCTTAATTATAATATCAATTTATACATAATTTTATTTAATGAATAAATCATATTACAAACTTCATTTAAATAAGTCTTGATATAAAAATATGTATTCAAATTATACCTTTTTTTTAATAGGTGTCTAAATTTTTTTCGATCAATTCAGGTGCCTAATATTACAAACATTACTATTTTAGGTGTCATGATCTTAACGACCGTTAAAAAACTCCGTTAAGTGATATGTTTCATGTTCAAATAATTTTGACAAAAAATAAAAATGTTATTATATTTAATAAAACCCTAATTTCTTTTAAATTACAAAAAAAAAAACTCAATTCTCTAATCTATAACCCTAACCTTACCTCCTTTGTTGGTCACGCCCACCACTATCGACTTTTTTCTTACCATCTTCCTAGTCAGATGTTGTCATCCTTGACGTCGATTGGCCATCGAAATAGTGTGGTGTCACAATTTGTAAGTTCGTTGAGGTCACGTCGATTGGCTCATGTTCTAGTGATTTTTTTGTCAGCTAATTCGTAGTCTGGTGGAGTTGCAGTCTCGTGGAGGTTCGGCGGCGACAAAGATAGTTGATGTGGGTTTAGGGATTAGAATAGGATTTTGAAAGTTTTGGGATTTTTTTTAAATTTTTAAAATTTTGGGGTTTTTTAATATAATATTATTTTTTTTATTTTAGATAATTTTTTAAAATTACTAGAACGTGACATGTGTCACTTAATAAAATATGGTCATTACAGTTGAGACACCTAAAATGATAATGTTTGTGACATTAAACACATAAAAAAATGACGCCAGACAGAATAGTGATTATCCTGTAGGCTAGCTCCGACAGACGATTCACAAGAGAAAATTCGCCCAAAAACCAGAGAAAAAAGTCTCTAGGGTTTAATAAAATATTATAAAATCAATAACTATCTCAAAAGCAGTCCACAAGCCGGACTGTTATAGCAAAAAAAATCGTCTTTATTCGAATTTTGCCAAAAATAGCAAAAATCGTATTTATTCGAATTTTGCCAAAAATAGCAAAATCCCGAAAATCACTCTAAATTGAAATTCGAAATAAAATAAGCAATCTCCCAAAAATCCGGTCTAAATCGGATTTAAATTGACTTCCTAATTAACAATCGAAATATTACCATAAATAGTAAAAAATAACTAAATCTAGTGATTCGGAGGGGGAAAACGGCAGAATTTGAGGTTGAAAAAAAGGCCACATGGAGCGTAGCTCATGTGGAGAGCGTGCGCGTCGAAAAGAGCTTTCCGGATTGGTGTCTTATGCGCGATTCTGACACCTGTAGCCAAAGTTATGGCCAAAAGACTGAAACATACTCAAAACGACCCCAATAAGGAACATGTCACAATCAATTCCCGCATTTGCGCTGATCTGCCAACTCATGGTATCTCAGCGCCATCAACGTGCAATCTGACAGCTCATCATCATCTGTCTCGGATCCCCCTGCATCAAAAAATTAATTTTTTATCTAAGAAAATGATATAATTTTGAACACTTATTTTTATATTAAAACTTTAAATAATATTCAACCTTATTACATATTCATAGACAATTAAATAATCCCATTAGTTGCTCATCAAATAATTAAAAAAATAGAGTCATTATATCCCTTAAGCAAGGTCAGGAGGTCAGGAGTTTGAATCTTAATAATTACGAATGGAATAAATTGGATTAGAATGGTCGTCCTCACCTCTACAATACCCGATCTAGATTAGTCGATCAATATATCATATACTAATAATTATACCAAAAGAAAATGAAATAACAAAAATTTCAATTAAATAAAATATAAAAACTACATCCACTTTACTTGTTTTTGAAGCAAAAGTAATTAATCATGTACATTTAAATAAAATAAAATATAAGAAAGCCGAATATGTATATTCAAGAATCAGGTCAGCCATGAACTATACAATAATAATGATAATAGTATTCATTTCTTAAACAATACATATCTGCAGCAACAAGGAGAAAAAAGAACTATTTACGGGGAAGAAAGAATGTATAATAAAAAACTCAGAATCCCAAAGATCAATACCGCATAGCTAACATATCAACCTATGATTAAGCAGTAGCCGGAGGTGGTGGTGGTGGAGCAGGTGTCGTTGGCGTTGGACTATTGTTTCCACGGCCGCCGCCGCCGCCATTGTTTTCCCATGGTCTAACAGTGAACAACACCACAAACAAGATGATGAGCAGCAAAAGTATGATGGCATAACAAGTCCATTTCCGGGTGTTTTTCTGGTAATTCCTAGCGGTTTGAAGCTTCTCGGCTCCGCCTCTCACATATGAATTAGCCCTGTTCACATGGCTCTCTATATCATCCAATTGCTCACCTTGAGCCTGAACCAGCACCGCCATGTCCAAGAACACTTGGTGCAATTCCCTCAGATTCTTCTCCAGATCTTTAACGGCGTCGTGCCTTTCTTGAATCTCATTGATCGTGTCCAAAATCCTACCCCTCCCTTGTTCTTCAATGGCTTTTTGCAGAAAACTCTCACTCTCTCCTGCAAATACACACACAAGTTCCCAACATTAGATTTTACATTTCTCTTGCAAAACAACTGCAAATACAGCATGGTTAATCAAAAAATCTGGAAAAAAAGAGAGAGATTAAACTGACCTGTCGAAATCAAAAGATCAAGAGTTTTGTCATCTGGGTTTTCTCCGGTGACCGTGAAATACCTTCTTTGAACAGTTTCTCTATACTCTGACGAGATCTTTTGTCTCATCCTACTAAAACTTTCCATAGAATCCTTTAATTTCATTCTCAGCCCGTTCACAACCGAGGTCCTCGTCCGGTCCGAGGAAGAACCCGGACCAAACCCCGGCAAGCTCCGGCTGGCGGCGTTGGAGCGGTCAAGTTCTTCCAACCTCACCTTAATTAGCTTGGCCTTTTGCAAAGCCATGGCTACATCAGCATCCATCTTTGCTCTCAACTCTTTCACGGCTCTCGCGTTGTGCAATGTCTTGCTTCGCTCGTGAGACGACGAGAGGTCGTCGTTCAGCCGATCGAGTTCTTTGAGCTCGTCTTTGATGGACTCCACATCTTCGAAGAACTTGTGGAGGTTAACACCGCCGGAGGTGGAGGAGGAGTGCGTCATCTCGATTACGTGGTGATCAGGGGAAGGTTCTTCGCTTCGAAAGCGAGAGAAAGAGCCAGAGAAAAGATCGTTCATCTTCAGTGCTTCAAAAAACAGGATCAGAAGGGACTGATGGGTGCAATATGTTGGGTTTATCAAATCATATACACGAATACCTTTTATTAAATCAGATTTTAAGAAAAAGGGTATTGAAGATCGAAGCTCAAATGGAGAAGAAATGACGTAAAAGAGAGGTTTTGAAGGTTGAAGAAGGTGAGTTTCAAACAAAAGAGGAGATTGAAGCAGTCAAAATGGGGAGGGAGAAGATGAAATAGGCATGCAGATTTGTGTAATTTCTTTATTGGTTTAAATAGGACGGAATTGAAATGAGGACGAGGAAACATCATGGAAAGTGGAAGAAACGAAGGTGACGGCTGAGTCAGTCGGGAACCGAGTCATATTCTTTCTGTTTGCGTAACTTTTCAATGTTGGTTAGGAAAACGCGTGTGTGTGAAAATTCTGGATAATTGATTTGATTTGGTTGTAACTTGTTTCCTCTCCTATATTTTGATTTTATGGTTGTTTTTTAGGAAAGATTTTAGGATTGTTGGGGGAAATCAAGAGTTTGAATTCTAGTTTAACAACTAAAAATGAGCGAAAAGCTAACAAAATTCTAGTTTAACAATATTTTGATTTAATATATTAATTATTTATAATTATGCAAACCTTCGTGTATGCATATTACATCCTGTGTATGATTACTAGTGACCACGTGTTAATACATATGGTCTTCTAGTCTAGACCAACACTCCTTAGGACGTCCAATCAGCACCAATCACATAACAACTCTCGACGAAGACAAGTCCATGGCATTATAAGTAGTCATGCAACTGAGGGCAAAAGGACAAACACTTCTAAACCATGAAAACTAAACCAACACACTAGAACCACCGAAATCACCACCGGAACCACCTTTTACGATTATTAATTACTTTATCAGTCAACACATCTTTGCCTCCAATGTCGCCTCCACCCTGTAAGTTTCCTAATTAACTAGTAGTTCTCATTTGTAAGTTTCCAGCCTGACATTTGTTCTTCACCTCTGTCGGTTGATTATTTTCTTGCACATTCTAAAGTTTCAACTTTTTCTTGCAGGTCCAATCCGATTATTTATCTTTAGTTAATGGCAGTCTTTCGTTGTTACAATCTTCTCATCCCTTGTCGAATTCCAAGTTTATGAGAACATCTATGCCTTCGCCTAATGGAACTACTAGACCTCCATTGCCACTTCCTTCAACACCTCCATTTGCATCTAGCCCATATAATTTAGCATCCTTACTGGATTATAGATGCTGTAACAAGTTCATGTTGCTCCTGTTAATCCTTATTATCAGCCTCAACGGCCTGAATATTTAGCACAATAGCTGCAAGTTGAGCTTGTGCAACCACAAGATCCACCGCGAGCTGTTGGTATGTCACAGTAGCAACAAGATTCTGGATTGTCCTTACATGAGTACTTCCAGTCTCTAGAAACTATTCAGGTACGTATCGTGCAATTATAACCACATGAAAAGAGAATGCATCTGTTTGATATTTTTCTATAACAAGTTATCTTTAGTCTTTCTGAATGTAGTCTTTGTTGAGGGACCAAGAAAAACTTCGCCAACTATTAGAGCAACATCCAAAGTTCATGCAAATGCTTCAGGTTTAATTTCTACTCGTCTTGAACTTTTTGTTTGTCCTTTAAGGAGATTTCATAGTTGAGTAACATTGATCAACATGCAGAAAGCCAAGTTTCTATGTTGTAACTTGCTCTAATGAGGAGCCTTTCCACTTGTTATATTGTGTGGCCTGCATACATACATCCATAACTACGTTGATTCACATATGCATTACTGATTTTATATTTTTTAGACTCGGATGTTAGTGTTGGATACATCCAACATGAGTTTTCTTAAGATTTGGAGGGTTCTTAGATGTTTATGTTCTTGTTCTCATATCTGCATGTTTTGGACATGAGTACTTATGAAGTGTTAGAATGACATAGCTATGGCATGCGTAAATATTTATTGCTATAATATTCTAATGCTTCTTATGTTCTCAAATAGGAAAAATTAGGTCAGCTTTAACAGCATGATATGGGATTGCAAGGATGCTTGCTTCTTTTTTATGATAACGTGTTTTGAACTCGTAATCAAGTACAGGTCTCAAGCTTCAACCCTTGGTCGCCATGCTTCAAATATACTTGCTTGTTTAAGTCTGTTATTTTATACAAGTTGGGACCATATGTACATTCTTTTATATTTACTATTACAATTTACATGTTTTTTAATTGTTTTATTATTATTGATGAGTTGAGAAAAATTTTATATTCCTGTTTAGTTTCATGTATGACTGGTCGATTTCGACTTGAGAATTTAATTTTGTGTGTGTGAGTGCGTGTATGTGTGTGCATGCACATGTATATGTGTGTGTGCATGTGTGTGCATGCGTACATGCGTGTGTATTGTGTGTATGCGTGCGTGCGCAAACGCATGTCTAGGGTGATTATAAAGTGATATTTGTTTAAAATTTTCTTAGTTTGTTAAGAACATACACCTTATAGACATAATTATATGATCTTAGATCCATTAGAAAGAAAAACATATCCTTTTTATCATAGAGGCTGCTCAATAAGTTGGACATTGATTGAATAAAAATAATAATGTTAACATATTTTTTTTAAATTATTTATAAAAACCCCATTAAAAAGTAAAAAAAAAAAAATTGGTCAGTGCAGTTTTTTGTTACCCTTCTGATTCTAAGGTTTCGTCTTGACTAATCCAGACTGACACGTGTCGTACATCTGACTTAGGTGGGTGAGTCTCCTATCAGAGATTTTATGAATACATAAAGACTCAAACTCGAGATCTTACTTAAGCGATATTAATTTGCTTACCACTTGAACCAACCTTATTGACAAATCAGCGCATGTTTTTATTAAATATTCAATCAATTTATTTAATATCATGGGAAAATATTTAACCCGTGGTTTGAAAAAATATATATTCCTGTGATATGAAAAACACTTTGTTATCCTTTTAAGTTTTATAAAAGTTATACTAGTCCCCTAAGATTAATGTATTAAATGAACTATAAACAAAATGATGAATGAACCTGAAATTTATTAATTACAATTATATTTATTTTAGTTAGTTTTTATTCTTATTTCTTCAACAATTTTCAATTAAAAATAAAAGTCTAATTAGTTATAATATTATAGTAGATTATAAATTTTATTATATTATAATATGTATTCAATACATATATAATTATCGTTATCGTAGTTTTTTATTTTCATTTTTTATTAATCTAGAGTAAGTATAAAGTAATATATGTTCAAAAATAACTCTCAATCTTTTGACATTGAACGCTCATATCCCTACTAATTTATTTTTTATATATAAATAAAACTGAAAAATAAATAAATAACATATGCAAATAAATGTTGAATTCAGTTTTCTATATATTTTTAATAATTTTATTTCCATTAAGACCTTAAAATTTTTTTAAATTAATTTTAAATAAAAAATTCAATGTACATTTTAAACTTAATGTCAATGATATTTAATTTCCTTAAAGTTATAATTATTCATGAATCAGATTAGTTCACAATATGATTTCAAATTCAGGCTCGCCTCAGTCCAACTATTATAACACCATATTTAATTTAATTTTCTTTTACTTTTAAATCATTTTTCATTAAATATTAATATAAATTCCATGTTATAATAAAAGATAATAAACTAATCTATATCATCGTTTATTTTTATAATTTAAACAGTAAAGGGAGTAAAATGTGAGTAATTTGAAAGTTTAATGATTAAATTAAAATATATTAAATTTAATTGATCAAAATAAGAGTGAGAAGATAGTTGGTGATAAAATACGTAATTAATTTAGCCAAAATAAAACCCGATTTGTTTTCTCCACGAGAGTATAAAACCCTAGGGTGTGTTTTTAGCTTTCGTTCTCTTCCACAAAGTAGAGATCGAAGCTTTGACGTCATGGTCGGTTTTTTTCTCTCTCTATCTCTCTCTATCCTTTTGAAGATTTAATTCCAATGTTCAATTTTGTTACTTTTTCTAATTATTTGTTTAATTTGTTTATATAGCCGCAAGGAGATTACATTGACTTACACAGAAAGAGGCATGGCTATCGCCATGACTTCTTCGAGCGGAAGCGCAAGAAGGAAGCTCGCCAAGTCCACGAGCGATCCACTAAGGCTCAAAAGGTCTTTACATTTTTACCTCTATTTGTATTAATTTGTGCTCCTTTTAGTGGAATTTGATGTGCTAATTAATTTGTATTTTATATTTTTATGATAGTCCCTTGGTATTAAGGGTAAGATGATTGCCAAGAAAAATTATGCTGAGAAGGCTCTCATGAACAAAACGTGAGTTTTCTTCTTTTTTTCTTTTCTTTTCTTGAATTTGAATTTATTATTACTATTTCTTTAAAGTTTCTTTTACTGAAATTAACATCAGAATGCTGTTCTATCTTCACTTAAATGTGTTGATAAGTTCTGTTTTCAATATTTTATTATTAAATGTCAATTAGGTTCTGTAAATTTCAAAAGATTCTTCATATGCTTTCATATGCATTGAATACATTTGTTAGATTATAGTTGTTAATGCCCCAATGATCAATTTGCCTTTCATTGATTCTGTCTGATTTCCACCCATGGTAGGATGTTAACACGGCTAATTCCTGTTTTCTTATGTCGCTCAAAATCGGAGGTTTTTTTGGTGGGTACTTGATTGTCAATGAATGCATTTTGTGAGTTTATGGGAATTTATAGATGGTAATATTAGGTCAAATGGTATAAAATGGTTGCGTTTGGCTCATCGTTAACATGGTCGTGCTTAGATGAAACAGTGGAGTCTTGCAGTGTATCTTCCTTATGAAAAAAAACTACCATTTTGAACCTGAAGTTCTTGTTTTTAAGATGTCATATTTGAGGAGTACCTTAAGCTTTGGTTGTATGCCTTATTTTAAAGGATTTTAGCTTCATACTTGCTCCAATTTTTATTCTTTCTTAATCATGTGATAACTAAGTTATTTTTTGCATCATGTC